AATGTAACTATAATAATATAGAAATGACCATATGTTTAGAAAGAAGAGGATAGTTAAATATATTGATAATGATAAAGTATAACCATTAAAAATTATGTTTTGGGGAAATCTCTAATGAAGGGAAAACGTGCATAGCTTCAAGAATTGTAGGGCTGGGACTGGGGCTGTAGCTCAATGGCAGGGTGGTTGCCTGGAATGTTTAAGGCCTGGGGTTCAATTTCCAGTACAAGGAGCTGGAGGAGCACAGAAAAATGGACATTAAATAATTTTTCATGCCTATGCGATGTGTTTGTACTTTAAGATAAATGCTATTTTAGTCAAAAAGATTTTTAAAAATGAGGAACTTCATAAATTAAAAAACAAAACAAAACAGGTTAACTTCTTATTGAAAAAATTTTTTTAAATTTAATATAGCCTCGGCCGGGCATGGTGGTGCATGCCTTTAATCCCAGCACTCAGGAGGCAGGGGCAGGTGAATCTCTGTGAGTTCAAAGCCAACCTGGTGTACATAGTGAGTTCCAGGACAGCTGGGGCTACAGGGAGACCATGTCTCAAAAAGAAAAAAAATTATTTGTTTAAATAAAAAATGTATTCTTAGATTGGTGGCTCACATTTTAAATCCCTGCACTCTAGAGGCAAAGGCAGCCCGATCTCTGAGTTCCAAGGACAGCCAGGACTATATAGTGAGGCCCTATCTCAAAAACTAAAACTAACAGGCTGGCCTCGAACTCACAGAGATCCACCTGCCTCTGCCTCCTGAGTGCTGAGATTAAACAGTAGGCTAAATGAATGCCACTCGCTCACTCCTGCAGAATAAAGTCTAGTTCCAGAAGCTCCACTCATGGTAAGTGCTCTACACAAGAGTATCATTAAAAAATTTTTTTTATATTTGTTTTGAAGAGTTTGTGATATGTGAATATATGTATTTTTATGTGTGCATGTTTATATGTCTGAATGTGGGCATGCATGTAGAAGTCAAAAGTCACCTTTACACCTTGTTTGAGAAAGGTTTCTTTGCCACTGTGTGAGAAGGCTGGCAGCCTTGAGTTTCTGGAGATTCTCCTGTCTCTGTTTCCTAACTCCCTAAAAGGGGCACTTAACACAACTGCTCTTTGTGGGAATTCAGGGCATCAAAATTCAGGTCATCAGGTTTGTCTGGCAAGTGCTTTTATCCACTGAGCCAGCATTTCCTCAGTCTGTATTTTTTAAAAATTATTTTTATTGATTCTTTGAGAATTTCATACAAAGTATTTTGATCACATTCAGACCCCCTCTCTAATCTCCATCCTACCTTACTATCCTGTCCCCACGCCTTTACCTTTTTCTTTTGAGATACGGTCTCACTACGTAGACCAGACTGGCTTTGATCTCAAAGCCAGCCACTTGCCTCTGCCTCTTAAGCCTTGTGATTAAAGGCTTGTATCACCAAACCTGGCCACCCTGCATTTTAATCATATCTTTTTCTTTTTTTTGTCTTTTTGAGACAGGGTCTCCCTGTAGCCCCAGCTGGCCTAGAATTCACGATGCAGACCAGGCTGGCCTTGAACTCACAGAGCTCCATCTGCTTCTGCCTCTGGGATTAAAGGCAAGTGCCACCACACCGGCTATCTTTTCCATATTTAAATACACAAATGCTAGTATGCTATAATTACTTACCATATTCAATATAGTAGAATCACACTGTACAAGTTATAACCTGGGAACAATGGACTAACACATACAGTAAGCTGTATCACCTCCATTTGTGTAAGTATACTATGATGCTTTACAGAATGATGAAACTGCTTGAAACATTTCTTAGGATCTATCTCTATCATTACTAATTTCTCTGACCTAACAGAAGTCCATTAATGTGATAATTTTAGAATAACAGTCTAGAACAGAACATTGTTATCTCTTTATGTGTCCTGTTGTCTCTTCATAATGTTCTACAAAGTGCTTCCAAATAAGCATTTGTTTATGTGTTTATGAATTAAAGTGATGAATACATCAGAATGTAATGCAACATGTAACTATAGCCCAGGTAGCCCACGTTACCAAGGTATTCAAGGTATTGTCATTCACTGCTGATATCAAAGAGAATAAATGGTCATTCAACACTTAAAAACCCAAATAACCATTGCTCAAATAATTTTAGTTGTACAGATTTTTCATAGTTTTTAAAAAATATTTATTGTTTTTATGTGTATGAGTCTATTGTCTGCATGTAAGTGAGTGCACTCATGTCATGCAATGCCCAAAAAGTCAGAAGAGGGCATCAGATTCCTGGAACTGGAATTATGGACGGTTGTTTGCTGCCATGTGGGTTCTGGAAATCAAACCCACCCACGTCCTCTGCAAGAGCAGCCAGTGGTCTTTAACTGCTAAGCCATCTCTCCAGCCCCAGATTTTTCAAACTTTAAAATAACTTTTTTTCTAAAATGATTGCTGTTCTTCCCTTGTAATTTTTCAATAGTTAATAAAGACAATTTTCTTTTCATGAAAGTTATTCATAGGATTTTACATATAAAACTAAGCATGGACATGGTGGCGCATGGTGCCTTTCATCCCTGTACCTGGGAGGCAGAGGAAAGCAGAGCACTGAGAGATCGAGGTCAGCCTAATTTACATAGCAAGTTCCAGACCATCCAGGGCTACAAGGGAGCCAATGTCCCCCCAAAACAAAAAAGCCTACAATAAGCTAATGATAAATTATGAAAGATTTAATACACTAACATTTGATGGAGATTAAAAAATATTAGTCTTTGAAACCATTGAGAGGGTAAGGGTGCTTGCTAACAAGCTGGACAACCTGAGTTCAACACTAAGACCTACATGGAAGAGAACCAACTCCAGTAAGCTGCCCACTGACCTCCACATGTATGTACAGACTTTCACCCCCAAACACAATAAACAAATGAGCATTTTAAAAAAATTATGAAAGGTAATCTTTTCCACTTAGTTTGCAGTTCTATCACAAAACACATTTCTAACCTTGTCATCACTGGTAGTAGACTCTGGGTGAGGTAAAGGACTATCTTGATGAGTTGTTTCTACAACAGAAGGTTCTTCGATTTTGCTTCTTATGATGGGTGTTGCAAGAGGGGACAAATCTAGAGGCATCTAATGCAAACAATAAAGAAAATTTTGTAAAAAGTTCAAAAACAGTCATCAAGATATTTAAGAAACCAGGAAGTATAATTATCATTACTTTTCCATCAGAAGTATTCTTTTTTTTTAATTTCATGGTTAATAACGTACTTTTTTAATGTCATCTTCTGAAGCTTTCTTGAATTCATTTTCAAATGGACTTGCCAACTCATTAAACAAACCCACTTCTTCACAGTTTTTTAAGAATCTTGTTGGTGTTGGTGTCTGATCTGAAATAAATGTCAAGAAGTAACCACACAGGTATAAATTATCATGTTAAGACTCTAAAATTTGCTAGCAAATTAACAAATTTGCAGGACTGGTTCAGTCATCTCTCTTTGAAAGATTTCTTCCTTCAAAGCAAACAAAATTTGGTTAGGTTCAGTTTTACTTCAGGACATTTCTCCCTGTTCATAAACCATAAAAGCATTGAAAGACATTCTTTCATGCTTAGCCTACTACTTCTCAGAGTAGAGTAACAAACATATTCTACCTGAGAAATAATTATCATTATCTAACAGTGATAAGAATTCTTAACATTTACATAATTTAAAATAATGACTGTTTACATACAATTTAGGGAAAACTAACAAGAGCATATAGATGTTTTAACTAAGAAATTTTACTAGCTGTTCATAACCTATTATGAAAATGAGAAATGAG